AGGAAACTAACAATGATGCCTTAACATCATCAAATATATAACCACAATTCACATTTTCCCAATTAATTCGTGTGTGTGTGTGTTTTAACAGTTGGTTTGCTGGAGTCGGGATTGAAAAAAGATTGGTACATGGCATTCGACTGATTGGTCTCTCAGTCCCCCTCAGTCTGTAGGTTCCCTCTTCCTCTAATTTTTCTTAGAATGTATTAATGGATGAAATGGGAGTCCCGCAAAATCTCCCACATTCTGGATCTGGCAGTCTGTCCCCCAGGGGGCCGCCAACATGTTCCCTGTCCCTGAATTTCCCATGACTTAATGGATGGTGTTACAGAGTGCATGTTGTGTCCTCCAGAGTTCATATGCTGAAACCCTAACCCCTAATAAATGGGATGGTCTTGGGGAGGGGAGGGCTTTGGGAGGAGCCTGGGGTAAGATGAGGTCATGAAGGTGGTGCTCTCCTGATGGGATCAGGGCCCTTATTGAGATGAGCAGCCAAGGGACTTCCCTGTGTGTGTGAGCACCAAGGAAGGCCAAATGAGGACATCAACAGGAAGAGGGCCCACACCAAGAACCCAGCCATGATGGTACCCTGCATGTGGGTCTTCCAGGACTAAGAGAAGTAAGTTTCTGTTTAAGTCACCTAATCCGTGGCCTTCTGTTATGGCAGCCAGAACTGACTAGGGAAGATTTAGAGGCTCAATCAGATTCAGGTTGGAAGTAGAGGCAGAAACACCTCACAGTGATGATGTGTGTTCCTGCTAGCTCACATCCAAAGGCAAACAACATCTGGCTGTCTCTTTTCTTGTGAGGCTCAGACTGACTTGTGAGAGGTTCCAGTTCTGGGTCAGACGCACTCATGACACCCACCCTGGCTCTCTCCCTGAACGCAGCTGGAATAAAAACCTAGCCACATACTTGGACAAATACAACGGTTCTTTTAGATTCTACGAAGTAAACCAGAGCAGCCCAACTGAGGAAGAAGACCAAAACTCGAATTACTGCTGAAGTGTTGGTAGGTTTACTATTCCCTCCCTCCCCAGTCAGAGTCCCAGGAAACTGGAAAGGATCAGAGAGATCGTGGAGCGGGAGTCCATGAAGTTATTTATGAACTTCTAGGCAGATCCCCAGGTGGCACGTGCGTGGATCTGGTCCTAATCAGCACACCCAAGACTTTGAGAACCAAACTCACAGACCACTGCCCAGGTCTCAGACTGACTAGAGTAGGTGCAGAGGTACCACGGATCCAAACAGCACTGCAAAAACAACCACAGCCCACCGAGGGGCTGTTAGGAATTCGGGGCCTGACCCAACGGGGTCATCTGCTTACTAAAACAAAAACATTAACATTCTCTGTAGGATTGAAACAAAACCCAGAGTGTCATACATCATCATCAAAATATCCAGAATATAATCCAAAATTACTTGCCTTGCAAAAAATCAGGAAAATCTCCATTCTCACGGGAACAGATAATCAACAGACACCAATGCCAGAATAAGACAGATGTTGGAATTATGTGACAAAGGCGTTAAAGCAGCTATTCCAGAAAGACTCCAACAAGCCAGCAATCACACAAACTTTTGACACGAATGGAAAATAGGAGGTCTCAGCAAAGAACCCATAAGATATAAAGAACCAAAAGGAAACTTTAGAACTAAAAAATACAGTAACTGAAATTTAAAAAACAAAAAACAAACAAACAAAAAAAAAGACCACCCTGTATGGGCTCAAAGCAAATTGGAGAGGATAGGAAAAAAAGTAAACCTGACAAAAGGCTAATAGGAATTATCCAACCTGAACACTGAAAGGAAAAAATTGATTAAAAACTGAACAGAGCCTCAGGAACCTGGGGCACAATCACAAAAGATCCAAAGTTGTTATCCGAATCCCATAAGGACACAGAGTGCTTGAAAACAATCTGAAGAAAGAACAGCTGAAAAGGTCCTAAGTACAGCAAAAGACGAAAACTTACAGATTCAAAGAGAATACAGACACAGAATAAACTCAAAGAAATCCCCACAGCCAGACAGGTTATACTCTAACTGCTGAGAGCTCGACTGGGAGAAAAAAAAAAATCTTCAAAGCAGCCAGAAAAATGATACATTTTCTATGGGGAAACCATTTGCATGGCTGCAAATTTCTCATAGGAAACCACAGAAGCCAGAAGAAGGGCACGGCATTTTTAAAGCGTTTTAAAAAAGAGCTATCAACCCAGAATTCTATACGCAGTAAAAATATCCTTCAGGAATGAAGGTGAAATCGTGACACCATCGGATGAAGGGAGACTAAGGGGATGTGTCACCACCAGACCGGCTTCAAAAGAATGGCTAAAAGAAAGGCTTCAGTGGGAAACGAAATGATACCAGAAGGAGACATGGAACCTCAAGAACGAAGGAGGAGCAACCAAATGGCAAGTCTCTGGGTAAACAGAATAACAGACTGTTCTTCTCCGCTGGAGTTCTTTAAAATGCATTTGAGACTTGAAAGCAAAACTGAAAATATTGCCTTTTTGGGTTCTGAATGTATGGAGACATACTATCTCAGATGACCAGAACGTAAAGAGATCGAGTGACAGGGTTTCTACATTCTACTTGAAGTGGTAGAGTGTTAATCCAGAGCTGTCAGTGAACAGATGGATGGCTGGTCCCAGGCATGGTCAGCCCCATCCATACCTTATAAAGCTCCCCATCAATTTTTCATCTAATGCTTTCAGGAGCCACAGATGATCCATTTCTTCACCAGGGTTACAGAACAGATACTCAAATCCTCTCATTCTTTGATGTTAGTTGGTATTCTTCAATTAAAAAAAAAAAAAAAACCCTTTCCTACCTGTTGGCTATTTAATTACTCACAAGTACAAAACATCTAGAAAAAGGAGGATAAATGCTGGATTCTCTCCTTTTATTTACCAGTTTCAAAATAGTGAATTAGAACCCGTTATTTTTAGATGTTAGATACGCCAGAGGGAAATGCTGGCTTAATCCCCAATGACTGAATTTGGAATGGATATAATTAAGTCATTTAGACAATTAAAGACCAATATCCAAACATTTAAATCATACAGGGTCTTTAATATGGCAGAGAATATGCAGAATGGCACAATCATTTAGAACGTGTGTACTAGAATGTATCACACTTGCTTTTTATTGCCATTGAATTATTCTCTAGTATGTACAATGAATATATATATATATATATATATAATTCCCCCCTTAGATTGTAAGATCCCCATGGACAGCAGGAAGCTAAGATCAAGCTGATACACACTTACTAAAGGACTTAGTGAAATATATAAAACAAGTACATCCTTGGACATCCTAAGCCAAAGGCGAAATGCTAGTAAATAGGGTCTCCCCCTTCATCACTCACAGCTTCGTTTTAAGTCACTAGGGGTTTTCAAAATCAATTACCCCTTGCCAGCCACCACACTGAATGCTTTTCAGGTACTACCTCATCTAATTGCCACAACAACCCAGGAAGCAGGCTCTTGGCGTCCCCAATTCATGAGACGAGGACACCACTCCGCAAGGAGATTAGAAAGCACAGCCAATCCAGCTTAATCAGGGCAGAACACAAACCTGGGGCCAGGCTTTTCAGCTCCAGAGTCATTCTGCTCAATCAGGCTGCTACCTAGTGGGTGCCTGCCTCCTCCTGCTAAGGTGGGTTTCTGCTGCTCTACTCTCCATTCAGCAATCTAGCCATATCTCTGCCATCTGGGATCCAGACGATGAAATGAGGCAAAAGAAGGCACACGGGAGAGTTATACACTATACTCCTCATGTCCCCACTGCGTGGGCACAGCGACAACTATTCCCTGCAAAGGCATAAATAACAGGGGACCTGGTCCCCCTCCTCTTCAGAGGCTTATACCAGAACCAACAGGGTAAGGGAAAGTCAGTTTCTCAAAGCCATCACTGAAGTCATTACACTATGTTTTGAAAAAAAATTAATAACATAAATAACAATTATATGAATAACGACAACAATCCTAATGGACAACATATATGTGTGTATACACGTGTACATACATGCATACATACACAGAGCGAGAGAGGGAGGCAGGCAGAGAGACAGAGAAAGGCGGGGCACAGAAAAGCCCACATCTGAACCAGGGGTCGTTCTGGGCCGTTTCGTTTTCCTCTTTATGCTTTTTTATATTTTGCAAGTTCCAAAGCCGTTTGCTGGGAGAGCTGATCCGGCACAAAAGGTCCCGGGGAAGAGAAGCCAGAAGGTCACTGACACTGCTGTGCGTGAAGTGGTTTTGGACACAGAGATGCTGGCCAGGAAGGGACTGTGTGTCTCCGGGCCATGGAGTGGGAGCTCCACACCAAGACTGCTAAGAGGGGAGGGGCAGAGCGGAGAGAACAAGAGCGGGCGTGCGTCTGTCTGTGTAGTGCCTTGGAGTATTACACAACAAGGAAAAGGAACCGGGGCAGTCACAAGACAAGGAGATCTTTAGCTTTCTATACTACATGGGCATTTTTTTTCAAAAATATTTTCTTCCGATATATATAAAAATCTTTTTAAACATCTTTTTAAACATCTTTCAACATCTTTTTAAAAATCTTTCAAAGTGGGAAGGAAGACCCGCACATCACCCCAGGCTGTTGAGTGGGACCGTCCATCAGAGGAGGGGGCGAAGGAGCAGAGAATCGACTCTGCCCCTCGTGACCTGTGTGACCCTGGCTGAGCTCCCTGACGTCCCGACGCTTCAGGTGCCTTATCTGTTGATGAGGACCACACACCTGCACCTGCAAAGCTACTGTCAGAGCAGAAAACAAAGTATGGCCCAGGCCCAGAGCACTTTGTAGAGTCCCCGCGAAATGGGAGCTGAGCGCTTACATGTTTGCACAAGGAAGAAGTGAAGAGCAGGAAGCGGGTAAGGAGAGAAGACACCCGAGCCCACGGGAGTGAGGAGCACAGGGAGGAGAGGGGCGGCGCCCGAGGCACCGGGCCCAGAGGAATGAACAAGGGAGGGCGGCCGGGTGCTCCTGGTACTTACTGCAGTTCTCTTCGTCGCTGCCGTCAGGACAGTCCTCAAACCCATTGCACTGGAAGCGGCCAATGATGCAGTGGATGCCACTGGCGCAAGGGAAGAACGTCGGGCCGCATTTGGACTTAGCCTTGGCTACAGGAGGCAAAACAGGACAAAGAGAAGGTCATGAGGAGCTTACATTTTCTGACCCCTGGCATACCCATCCCACCAACTGAGCATGCAAAGGGGTCCCTTCACATTTCCCTTTTAGTCCCCAAAGATCTCTTACCACCCACCACCCACTGTCAATGCCCAGCCAAACTGGGAGCCTGCACGCAGCATCCTCGAGGAAGGCGGTGGCTAATCCTGCTGTGTTTACACGGCCCCTGCACAAAGCAGGGCTCAGCCAGAATGTGCTGCAAGAAGGAACGAACGGGTGAGCAGATGGGTGATGGATGCAACCTACTCTGAAGGTGCTAAGGAACCATTCACAATTCATTCTCTGACTGTCAAATTAATTGTCTGCATTTAGTAAGTGTTTCCCATTCTAGGTAGCGTGGCCAGAGCTTTCCGTGGATGCTCTCATTCAATCCACCCAGCAACCACCCAGTGGCAAGGTGTGCAGAAAATAACACCACTGGCCTGAGACGGCTACCCTGCAAAGAGGCTTGCTTGCTTGCAAGGTTGGTCCTCGCGTGGCTGACTTCCGGGAACTTGGATTTCGGGAAGGTTCGCACCATTCTCTCCTAAGAACGGCTCCCTGTGCCTAAACTGTTTATGCGAACGGTGCAGTTTATGCTGAACACCTGCTTTTCTTCTGGGAGTTTGGGATTGTGGTAGATGCTGGGCAGACAGTGCCTGCGTAACCAGCCCCCAGTAAGAACCCTGGGCACTGAGTCTGTAACGAGCTTCCCCAGGAGAAAATATTTCTCACACACACCGTCACAACTTGCTGCTGGGGAATTAAGTGCATCCTGTACCGCTTCACTGGGAGAGGACTCTTGAAGTTTGATCCTGGCTTCCTCTGGCCTTCACTCCATTTGTCTTTTCCCTTTGCTGATTTTGTTTTGTGTCCTTCCGCTATCATAAGTTGTATGACTATATGCAGAGCTCATGGAATCCTCCCAGCAAATCACTGAGCCTGGGGGCAGTCTTGGGGACCGCTGACAAGGATGGGTGTGGTTCTTATCCCAATGTCAGAGGTATGCTTTGAGGGGTAAAGTGACTCACCCAAAGCCACACAGTTAGAAAATGAGACACTGGGGTGAGTGAGGCCCTTGGTGCTAGATTCCAGAAGCCAAGCCTCTCTGCCAGTCTGTCACTTCTCACAACAGAAGCCAGACTCCGGCTCAGAGAAATTCTTCTTCCACTCCTGCTATACAAACAGGTTTAACAGAAGCTGCTGTAACTCGGGCTTGACTCAGTGTCCTGCTAACCAAACAGCCCTGCGAGGTAATGGGCTTTCCCGGGAATGGCGCCGGCTGCTCTAGCTTGTGATTACGAGGTATAAGATCAGATCTATTGCTGCATCCCAGGTAGCGGGCCCCGACTAGCATCCCTCTCATCTCCTGCCTTAGAGACAGGACCCATGGTCCTCAAGAAGGAAGGGCCATTTCTTGGGAACGAAGAGGTAGTAAATTACCTTCATGTTCCTGTTACCAGGAACATGCCAACTTTGGCAAGCGTGATCCAAAATTAACAGCATTTTAAAGCCTGGGACGTGCCTAGGTTTTAAAGACTCCCAACACTTTGTTTCAACCTGGAACTTCTGTAATGGTGCTGGTGTGCTCTTCAAAAGCACAAACTTGGGAGACAGTGTCTGGGCTCAAATTGTAGCTCTACTTTTTATGAACTTGGGCAAGTTTCTAAATATTAGTGAGTCTCAGTTTCCGCACCAATAAATTGGAGGTAACATCTATCTCCCAGGGCTCTAGGAAGGACTCAATGAGATAATCTATACAAAATGCTTCTTAGCACAGACCAAGGTATACAGCAAATGCTCAACGAATGGTAATACTTATACTATTTATCATCGTCATCATCAGTTATAGAATTTTAAAAATTACTTCTTGGGCTGCTTATTTTTTTTCCTGATCGCCAAAGTTAAAAAAGCTCGTTATGGAAGATCTCTATGAAGTGATACGAAATGATCGCCAGGATATACTGTTAACTGGGGGGGGGGGGGAAGCAAAGTGCAAAAGAGTATCTATAATATTTTAACCCTCTATATGAGCAAAAGAGAGGGATATAAGAAAATCTACACGGATTGGTTCATCTGAGCAGAAGAAACACAGGAGGGACAAACCAGAAACTAAAGAGCCTGGTTATATACAGGCGGTGGAAAAGGGGTGGAAAGAATGGAGAAACGAGATTGGAATGAGGCTGCCGGGATGAGTCTATATAGCTCTGACTCTTAGAACCCCAATATTTCACATACCCAAACAGCAAACAACTAAAATCATCCACACGATGTACCTGTGCAGACACTCAAAATAAGACAGAAACAGCAAAAGTGAACGTGGCTGGATTATAGACGAGTAAGCCCACCACACTGAAGGCTGTGGGGAAGAACAGAACCAGCCTAAGTAACTCGGGAAACTGTTATTTTGCCTGGATTCCATAAGGCTAAGGAAAAAGAGAATTGTACACAAATAGGGCACTCTACTTTTATTTGTCACAGGGTTATGGATTAGCAGTTCTGAAACTACCTTTGTGTGTACTAGGACTGAACAAATAAGTAAATATACTGCAAATAATAACCGTGAGGTTCCTCACTCTCAGAAGAAGTAGTTAGAAATAAGGAAAGCGGAGAGGCTAAATGATCCTTGAGGCTTTGGACTAGAAGTAAAGGCATCAGTATGAAGTCAAGATTTGTAAAGATAGATAGATAGACAGGCAGAGAGACATACAGATAGATAAGAGAGAGAAAGAGACAAATATTTATAGAATTTTTAAAAAGATTTAATTTTTTGAGAGACAGAGAAAATAGCTCGTGAGAGAGCACAAGCAGTGAGGAGAGGGAGGGGCAGACTCCATGCTGAGCAGGGCGTCTGATTCAGGTGGGGCTCACTCCCAGGACCCCAGGGATCATGACCTGAGCTGAAGGCAGACACTTAACCGACTGAGTCACCCAGGCGCCCCAGGAGAGAGAAATACTGACCTGGTGTGTGCATGGGTCAGCATACATACATGTATTTTCTAGTTCCGTCTGCTAAAAAATATGAGAAGCAATACACTCCAGTAGCAAATGAGCACACCCAGCACCAGATCTTGGTTTCTAAATACCACTGTCTGATAAAGGGAACCAGGGCTCCTTGGAGAAGTGGTTAATTCCAGGGGGAAATTCAAGATGAACCTGGAGTGTCTTGTGTTGCCAGAGAGGAAAGAAGTGCTCAAAATATGATGGAGGCATGGGAGGACACAAGAGTCAACCTGAAGGTTGACTCCAATGGCCAAAGCTACGACACTTGAGTGACAAAATAATGATAGTTTTGGACTATACCCCAGAGAATACAATAAAGATCTGCGAGTCCATCCGGCATCATAAATCGTTGGATAAATAAGTAAACGGGGAAGAAGGGAAGTTTTTCCTTATAGAAGAATTCCAATGGTTAAACAGAGAGGGGACGTGGGAAATAGAAAGTCATCATTTAGCAAACAACACAGTAACGATGGTTAGAGGCAAGACCCAGCGATGGATGCTCACACGAGAGGACCAGCCGGCCTTGCTCTGGCCACCCTTTCGGGGCTGCTGATAGGCTGCTTATAGGCTTGGACATCTGAGAGCTGTTTCCCCGTAAACTTCCATTCACAACATCACCGCAGCTTAACAATGCCTAAAAGCCCCTATCACAGCATCATGCAGCTCTGGACACCTCTCTAGGGCACAGCCACCTGGGGTCCCTGCCTGGCTACGCGGGCCTCCTTGCTCCTCCAGGAGCTGTCATACACAGTCCCAACTCAGGACCTGCATGCACCCTGCTGGTCCCCCTCCCAGGGCTGCAGGGCCCATGCCTCCACTTACTCAGACACTGGACTGTGGACCCAGAAACTCGGACTCCCACCCTCTGTCTCTCTAGCCCTCCTTCTGCTTCTCCTTCTTTTCCTTCCTAGGAAAGGACGTGACTTTGTGCTGTGCTGTTTGAATAATGACCATACACTCATTTGAATACTTTCGTTCACCACTTTCGATGGAGCTGTACCACACAGTGCCAACACCAGGTAATAGATACTTGCTGAATACACAGATGAGCCTATAAAAGAGAGTGGGATTGGGTAACAGTAGCTAGCTGGCTGAATGTTGACCATGGGTTAAGTATTATGCTCTAGGTTTTAGAAATATCACCTTGTTTACTCCTCACAAAAACCCGTTTCACAGATAGGAGAGCTGAGGTCCAGAGGTGAGGGGGTTTGACACTGCTAATAAACAGAGTCAAGGCTCAAACCTTGCTCTTGACTCATCTGCTCCTCTGCCTCTTTAGATATTTCTAAGCCCCAGCCCAGCTCCAAAGGACTAGGCTTTAGGAGACGAAGAAAAAGAATATGAATAATTATAAATGAATTAGCTACCCTTCAATTAACCAGCTCTTTGGCCCTGCCCCTGATCCCTTTTCAAGAATGACTAATGAGACCTGCTGCCTCATCAGCGATGCTCCATTGCGGTCTCGGTCAGAGGGAGCCGTCCTGTTACGATTTATACCTGCGCCATCAGACACCTGCTGAGGCAACCCGTGAGGTGGATCACAGGAGGCCAGCCAAGCACCTGGCTGAGGCTGTGAGCGAAGCCAGCCACTGACAGCAGCTATCGGTCCTCCCCTGGCCCCCGTTTCCCTGAAGGGGGGACATCTCAACGTGAAACTCAGTAGCCCCTGGCAGAAGGGGGGAGGCCGACTATGTCTAAAATCGCCCTGACGAAGGTGGGCAGGGTGCCTCCAGGCCACCGATGACCTGGATTCACTATTCTTCAAGGACCTGCTCCCTGAACTTTCCAAGGAGGCAGCTTTCACCAGTGGGAGGACAAGAACCAGCACTCTCCTGGGGGTGGGTTTCTTTCCCAATCCGTGTCCTCTCCCTCGTTAGAGCCTGGTTGTCACAGTTCTGCTTTTCACGGATCCGTAAATTAAAAAAAAAAAATTGAAAAAAAAAACAACCGA